TGTGTCCAATTGCATCTGTCATGTGTCTGAACATTCTGTTGGTCTGTCTAAGTCTGCTGATGTCTATGACTATCCTCCTCAGAGTTCATTATACCGTCAAGTTTTGTGTCATTTGCAAAGTAAAATTGTGCCCTGCCTATCCAAGTCTAAATTAAGGAGGTTAACATGAATTTCAAATGTTGCTCAAGCTTCTTATACTACTGAGATGGATCAAACCACTGAGATTTGTAATAGCTATGAAAAGCCAAGAAACTAAATATGTACTACAACCAATGGAAGACAATCACGCTGGTCCAGTCGAACCTTCATAACAGTGGGCAATAATATAAAATTCAGACAGTTCTACAATCCTCCAATGTACGTACTGTGGCTCCAACTCCGTCCTGAATGACTTTACAATGAAATTAAAAAAAGGGCAGTGGACATGTAGACTGATTCAGGGCAGAAGGAGAACCAAATACAACCCAGATTAAAGTTGACCTCTATCACTTCATTCACGGATGAAGTATCACTTTACAGACTGGCAACTTATCAGTATGTTTTCAGTGTAATATAACCATGCAGATCAATATCAGTTCACATTAAAAGAACTAATAAATAGTTATATCGGTCACAAAAAGGTTTTTGTTCCATGACATAATTTCTTGCCAGCTGAAGCTTTTTTTTAAAAACCAGTTTATCACTTAAGAACTGTTTATCTTATAATATAATCCAAAAGACAAATAGAAACTAATTTGTACTTACCTTTAAAATAATGACAGTGTAGCCAAAGAAATAAAGAATAAAATAGCTGTCAAATGCTTGTTTATTTTCACATGGGAAACAGCACCCATATTTAACTGGTATGAAATTACACAAAGTTGTCAACAATATATAAGATCGAATGAATAATTCTACGTGGAGTAAGATATCAATTTCAGGAAAGGCTGTTGGGTATTCTGAATGGCAGGAAAGAGAGAGTAATGGTGGAAAGTTGTTTATCAGACTGAGTGAAGGATTATAGAGCAGTTCCTCAGGCATCTGTAGTCAGAACTCTGTTCTTCCTGATATATATGTTGATGACCTAGACTTTGCTGTACAGTACTCAATTTTAAACTTTGTGAGCACCAAAAACTTGGATGTGTTCTGAACTATGGGGGACATAGACTTTAATTTTAATATGTCTAAGACTGATTGGTGGAATGAGCAGACAAGCCCAGAATGAGATGACAATAAATGCAGAGAAAAGTGATTTATTTTGATAGGAAGAACACGAACTGACAAATAAAAAGAATTTTTACAAGAGTGTAAAAATGAATTATCCATTTTGTATTTCCATCATTTGATTTGAATATCTGTGACCTTAAAAGACTAAAATGGTTTTAAAAAAGGAATGTCTACTGTGGTCACCTGACTAGATTGATTCTAGATCATGAAAAAAATTAATAATCAAAAATCAGTCTGAACTAAAATTGTTAAAAGGCATTGGAACTCAAATCTGTGTTTCCTGCTTAATTCACACCGATCTGGAAGTTTCACACATTGAGATAGAAGTTGCCCGATTTAATCAAAGTTTATAAGATCCTGAATGTTCTTGACAAGATGGATGTGGAGAAGATGTTTACTCTTGTGGGTAAGTTCAAAACTAGGCAAAACTTATAAAATTAGGAGTTGCCCTTTTAGGACAGAGATGAGGACTTTTTTTTCACTCAGACTTTGGAATTCTCTGTGAAAATGAGGCAGGATCATTGAATATTTTTCAGGAGATAAACTGATTCCTGTTAGGCGAGGGAATCTCAGGTTACTGGCAGTAGACAGGAATGTGGAATTTGAAACTCAAACCGACCAGTCATGATCTTATTGAATGGGGAAACAGACTAAGGGCTGAATGGCCTCTTCTGGTTCCAATTTGTATATTTGTGTTGAAGTTAGGATGTTTGGTGACTGTATTGTTGGAAGGCCCAGAAACTATAAAGGAGTTCAGAATGTAGGTTAATGGCAGATTTCTAGTTCTGTCTCTGCATTCATATTAGCTGTTGATGACACAGGATCTTAATCTGAAATAAATAAAAGGTAACATGATGTACATCTGATTTCTTGGAGCAGGCGCAGAAGGAGAATAGGAAGAAATTCTATTTAAATTGCACTTTATAATGTCTAATTTGAAATATTTCACACTCAGAATGTTTATGTGGCGTAAAATTTATGTTGTAAATGTTAAGACTATTACAGTCATATCAAGGCATCCAAGTGTGGAAATGCTGCATGGAGACAACTTGAATTTTATTGCAATTCCTGTAATATTCAAATGTTTCGTAATGCAATTTTTTTCTCAAATTTTATGAATAAAGTATAATCTTGGAGAGAAAAACTCACCTCTTAAATGCTGCTAGATTTTATTTTCCATTGACTTGATTCATTGAACGTAACCTATGTGCCAGAATTAGCTGATGATTAGTATGCTAATCCTGGTGGGGCCAATGAAAGTGTCTGCACTGCCGACATCATATCCAATGATGCTGACTGACAGATAACTGCAGGATTACATCATTACAGATTCTTGACCCTTATAATATTAGACATACAATTAGGCAGTACTGAAGTACAAATTATAGGCATCTATAGAAGAGTTTGCTCTCTCTCTTACTCAACCAAACACTAACAATTTATTATAAATTATCTCCAATTCTAAAGTGTAAAACTGCATCAGACATTAGTGCGATCGTTTTAGCCATCACTCTCATGACTTCTGATTTAGATTGTTTCAAAAATGACCATCAAAGCATATTTTTAAAATTCAATGCAACTACCTTCATAAAAGTGAAAATATTAACTTTCAGACAGTGGAACATCATAGCTATAAATATATTTGGTCATGTGTTCTAACTTGTAACTAAAGTATTTAATGTATTCCAAGAGCATAAGACCATAAAACATAAGGAGTAGAAATAGGCCATTCAGTCCATTGAGTCTGCACCACTATTCAGTGATATCATGACTAATCTGATAATTCTCGACCCTACTTTCCTGCCTTTTCCCCATAATCCTTGATTCCCTAACTCGTTAAAAATCTGGCTTTCTCAGCTTTGAATAAACTTAACATCGCAGCCACAAAAGCGTCCATAGATTCACTACCTTCTGACAGAAGAAATTTCTTTTCATCTCTGTCTTAAAATGTGTGACCCTTTTTTCTGAGATGATTCCCTCTGGTCCTAGATTCTTCCACTATCTAGCCTGTCAAGTCTCCAAGAATCTTATGTTTCAGTAAGGTTGTCTCTCATTCTCCCATATTCCAGTGAGCACAGGCATACATCTCCTCATAAGACAGGCTTTCCATACTTGGTATCAGTTTAGTGAAATTTCTTTGGACTGCCTCCAATGCCATTATACCTTTCCTTCAATAAGTGGTCTAAAACTATTCACAATATTCCAGCTGTGGTCAGACTAGTGCCTTGTATAAGTTTAGCAAAACCAATCTACTTTTATGTTCCATGTCGTTTGAAATAGAGGCCAACATTCCACTTGTTTTCCCAATGCCTGCTGAACTTAGATGCTAGCTTTTTGTGATTCATGCGTGAAGATCCCTGCATCCCACTGTTCTCTAGCTTTCTGTTGTCTTTCTTCATCTAATTAATGTTCAGCTCTTCTATTCTTCCTGCCAAAGTGCATAACTTCACATTTTCCCTCATTATTTTCCATCCGCCAAGTTTCTGCCTGTTCACTTACCATGTCCAAATCCCTCTGCAGACTCTGTGTCATAATTTGCCTTCCCACCTATTTTTATGTCATCTGTGAACTTAGCTGTAGTAAATTCACTTCCCTCATCCAAGTCATTAATATATATTGGAAATAATTATGGATCCAGCAATGATCCCTGTGGCACTCCATTAATTACAGGTTGCCATCCTGAAAATCCCCACCTTCTCCTAACTCTCTTTTATTAGTTAACCAATCCTCTATTTATGCTAATAAACTACCTCCAACGTAACGATCTTTTATCTTATTTAGTAACTAGTGTGTGACACCTGATTAAAATATAATTAACATAATTAAAATCCAAATGTTAGATCCACTGGTTCCCCTTTATCTATCCTGCTTGTTACCTCCTCAAAGAATTCAAGTAATTTATCAGGCACGGTTTCCCATTCATACAGCCATGCTGACTGGGCTTGATCACAGGTATTTCTAAATACTCTGCTATCATATCTTTTATGACAGACTCAAACATCTTCCCAATAGTCGATGTTATGCTAACTGGCCTACAGTTATCTGTTTTGTCTCCCTTGCTTTTCAAATAAAGGTATAGCGTTGACAACTTTCCAAGCACTGGGACTTTTCCAGAATCTAAGGATTCTTGGAAGATTACTACCAGTCTTCTTCTATCTCTGTGGCCACTTCCTCTAACATCCTAGCATGCATTCCACCAGATCCAGAAGACTTATTGGTCTTTCACTCCATTTGTTTCCGTAGCATTTTTTCTCTAGTGACAGTTATTGTATTTAATTCTTCCCCTCCTTTTGACCCCCTGACAGTTTATTCATTTTGGAGTGCCATTATTGTCTTTTACTGTGAAGACTGTTGCAAAGTATTTATTCACAACCATTTCCTGTTTCCTCACTATTATTTCCCCAGGCCCATTTTCTAAGCTGCCTATTTTCACTTTGCCTTTTTGCTTCCTTCTTATATTATTTATAAGAAGCTTGATCTGTCTGCCTAGATACTACTTGCAAGTTTACTCTCAAGGTTCATCTTCCTTTTTCTTACTTTTGAGGTCTCTTTTGTTTGTTTTTTTAAAGGCTTCCCAAGAGAGTAAGAGCAGTGTTAATGTTTCAATCTCAGAATGACTCTACTTGTTCACCTTCACTGCTTTTGATCAAATTTCACATTCCTGGCTTAGGATAATTTGCTGTTAGCAGTAGAAGTTCAATGTTAATAGTGGTGGCTCCCTGAAAGAAGTGCATCTCATTGAACCATGTGACCTGTTATAGGATCATGTAAAATTCAACTGCAGAATTACAGTATAAAGTCTGAAATACCCGAACAGTCAGTTTTATTTGAATATTGTACATTTGCTTTTTTTTTACATTTGAGAATAAGCTTAACTAAGTACAACATTTTGTTCTTCAAAGTGCCTTAAATGAATAATAATGAGAAGACACATTGAAAGTGAAATAATGAGGCCGCTCTCTTTTATACTTCCACCAGATAATTGCAAAAAAAGACTTACTTGGAAGGAAACTTGCTCCTGACCATAAACAGGTAATATAGATGTTGTGTGTTACCTAAGTACCCAAAACATGGCTGCAAGTTTCAACTACACATGCATATACAAACACATTAGCATGCAAATAATTGAGTTTTCTGCTCTTCATAGAATAGAGCTGATATACAAGTTTACAACAAAATACAGAATTATACATAAACATTGTAAAATAAACATTCACATTAACTAATATATACATAACAAAATAATAAATTTTTAATGGTAATTTACTTGTAATGCATATGCAAAATGTGTAGATTCAAAGTCAATATAGGTACTGGAGACTACCAATTATAATTTTAACAAACTTTTCCTTCTGATCCATGTTGATAACAGGAGAGGGATGCTTGCTATATAATGTTACAGAGGATTAAAATGTAGTAGCGTTTAAGAAAGTCAGTATGCAAAGACTGCACTTGCTGACCTGCACTGTGCACTTTAAAATGCTATATGATTGAAGTTTTTATCTCAAATAAGAAACTTTGACTTCGTTTCTGTGGAGCTCGATTACATACAGCTGCTGCAGATAGAGGTTTTCTTGCCCATCGTGATGGTAGACGGCGGTTCTGTGGTCTTGCAGGACGTGAAAAGCTCATTCCATTCAATCTCATTGTCTCAGGTGGCAAGATCTAATAGAGAGAGGTTTTGGAAGGCACTATTAAATACTACAAAATCCAGTGACATATTATAAAATCTGAACCCGTATAAAATCTGATATAGCTTTATAAATATTACATTTGACGTAACATCCCATGGAAAATTCATAAAACATTAATCAGGCCCTATTTATTTTTATGTTTGTAGCTTTAGACAGTTTCCTTATAGAAAGAGCATTTAAACTGTAGAATGCACGCACAGCAGTGCTGCTTAAACTGTTTTCCAGTGTGGTATCTTTTCAAGGCTAGAAAATGGTTGCAACTCTTTCTTGATAACTGAGAATGGGGTAGGGGTGGTAACACTTATGAGTGCATGGTTGGGGACGAGAAGACTTCCAGAGTGATGTTATAAGTGGTGGTGGGGAGGATATGAGAGCTAGAGACAGAAAGAGAAAGGCAGAGAGAAAGAGAGAGAGAGAGGTGGATCTACACGCATCACTTTTGGAAACCCCAGCATAAAGTGTCAAAACTATAGCTACATGGTAAGGAAAGCTATAGTTAAAACAGACCTAATATGCTGGAAAAATTTCTACTGAAACAGAAGGTTTATAAAATCAGAGGTTCGTCAAATTATAAAGAGGATTCATACAGCATGTAAAGAAAGATAATTTTCTTTGATTCCAGTGTCAGCGAAAGGGCTATTCATTCATATTTGTTATAGAGTGAAGCTAGAGATTAGAAAGTACACCTTTAGACAGAGGATTGTTGGAGCACAAATATATTGCCATAGGGACTGATTGAGATACAGAGTATTCTATGTTTTAGGGGCAAAGTGGATTAATAATTGAAGCAGAGTAAAATAAAGCAGTATGGTGGAGAGCGGGACAGTGAGATCAGTTTCAGACTGCTCTTGCAAACAGCCAGCAGAGATACACTGGGTTGAAGGGGTTTTCTCTCAAATGTAAACTTCTATGGTCCTGTCTGATGTAGCTTTGAAATGAACACAATCAGAAGGTTTTCCTTGAAAAATATCCCCATATAGCATGGTTTAAAATTCTTAATATCTTGCATACTGTTGAATATACTATTCCTCTCCAAAACCCCTCTCCCGTCATCCAGATTCATCTCAAAGAGTCTCATGGCTATATGTCCAAATAGTCAGCACACCTCCAGTTACTCACTTGTTCAACACAACACCACTTCTGGGGGATCAATTGGGGATAAATCCCAAGTGCTGCTTTTTACAAAAACCACATGCCTTCTTGGCAACAAGGTCTACAGTCATAGGAACTGCTTTCATATTTATCCTGGATTATCTGGCTTTCTATTTCTTTACCCTTCTTCACCACATCCATGTTATTTGCTACCAGTTCCTTGATACAGTCATAGACTCATAGAAATATACAGCATGGAAATGGACTCTTCAGCCCAACTCGTCCAAGTTGACCAGATATCCTACAAAATCTAGTCCCATTTGCCAGCATTTGGCCGATCTCCCTCTAAACCCTTCCTAATCATGTACCCATCCACATGCCTTTTAAATGTTGTAACTGTACCTGCCTCCACCAATTCCTCTGGCAGCTCATTCCATACACACACCACCCTCTGCATGAAAATGTTGCCCCTTAGGTCCCTTTTACATCTTTCCCCTCTCACCTTCAACCTATACCCTCTAGTTTTGGACTCCCCCACCTCGCGGGAAAGACTTTGCCTATTTACCCTATCCATGCCCCTTATGATTTTATAAACTCTATAGGGTCAGCCCCTCAGCCTCCAATGCTTCAGGGAAAATAGCCCCAGCCTATTCAGCCTCTCCCAATAGCTCAAACCTTCCAACCCTGGCAACATCCTCATAAATTTTTTCTGAACACTTTCTAGTTTCACAACATCCTTCTGATAGCAGGGAGACCAGAATTGCACTTAATACTCCAAAAGTGGGTGAACCAATGTCCTGTACAGTTGCAACCTGACCTTCCAACTCCTATACTCAATGCCTCTGGCATGGGAACCTCATGACAATGGGAAGATCAAATCCATCAATTTGCTTTGCATCTTTGAAAGCATCCTCAATACCAAACATAAGCAAAATTCTTGGTCACTTTTGTTAATCTCTCCCTTCTAGGCTTTGCCATTTATTATTCTTACCCATACTTGTGAAACTCTTTGTAACACTTCACGTTCCACATACGAACAAAGCCCAAGTCATTGTACTGTTACTGAAAGAGCACACAAATTGAACTGACAACACTGAGCTAAAAATCTCAACATTCACATATTTTAAAAAGTCCATACTAACAGGTATATTAGACATTAATTCTTCCTATGGCTGCAGTCTCAAAGTCTATCATTTAAGTCTTGCAAAAACATGGCAAGTCTGTGTAGTAATATTTGTACTTAAGTGGTCAATTATTTCTAATATATTTTCTGCTTCAATGCTTCTGTCCACCAGTTGGAGAACTGATGGAATTCTGTTGGCAAGGCACAATCAAATTACGAATCAGTCAGGATTTACAGCCTCAAATGGCAGAAACCCACTCTTCAAGAGCTGATGGCGAATCAGAGGTTGGCAGCTTTCCATTGCTGGTATTGCCTTCCACAGCTTAGAGTCATAGAGCTGCACAGCATGCAAACAGATTCGTCCATGCTGAGCAGATATCCTAAATAAATCTAGTTCCATTTGCCAGTATTTAGCCCATATCCCTCTAAGCCCTTCCTATTCATATACCCATCCAAATGCCTTTTAAATGTTGTAATTGTACCAGCCTCCATCACCACCTCTGGCAATTCATTCCATACATGCACCAACCTCTACGTGAAAACATTGCCCCTTGCTTCCTTTTAAATCTTTCCCTCTCACTTTCAACATATACCCTCTAGTTTTGGACTCCCCTACCTTGGGAAAAAGACCTTGGCTATTCACCCAAATCATGCCGCTCATGATTTTATAAACTTTTATAATGTCACCCCTCAGCCTCCAACACTCCAGGGAAAATAGCCCCAGCCTATTCAGCCTCTCCCTATAGCCCAAACCATCCAACTCTGGCAACATCCTTGTAAATCTTTTCTGAACCTTTGCAAGTTTCGCAACATCCTTCCAATGATAGGGAGACCAGAAATGCACATGCAATTCCAAAAGTGGCCTAATCAATATCCTGTTCAGCCACAACATGATCTCCCAACTCCTATATTCAGTGAACTGATCATTAAAGGCAAGTACACCAAATGCTTTCTTCACTATCCTGTCTACCTGTGACTCCATTTTCACTCCAAGGTCTCTTTGTTCAGCAACACTCCCCAGGACCTTACCATTAAGTGCATAAGTCCTGCCCTCATTTGCCTTCCCAAAATGTAGCACCTCATATTTATCCAAATTAAACTCCATCTGCCACTCCTCGACCCATTGGCCTATCTGATCAAGATCCCGTTAAGCTCTGAGGTAACCTTCTTCTCTATCCACTACATTTCCAATTTTGGTGTTATCTGCAAACTTACTAACCATACCTCCTATGTTCACATCCAAATCATTTACATAAATGATAAAAAACAGTGGACCCAGCACCGATTCCTGTGGCCCACCGCTGGTCACTGGCCTCCAGTCTGAAAAGCCGAACTCCATCACCACCCTCTGTCTTCTACCTTCGAACCAGTTCTGTATCCAAATGGCTAGTTCTCCCTGTATTCCATGTGATCCAACCTTACTAACCAGTCTACCATGAGGAACGCTGTTGAATGCCTTACTGAAGTCCATATAGATCATATCCACCACTCTGCCTTCATCAATCCCCTTCATTACTTAGTCAAAAAACTCAACCAAATTAGTGAGGTATGATTTCCCATGAACAAAGCCATGTCAACCATCCCTAATCAGTCCTTGCCTTTCCAAATACATGCAAATCCTATCTCTCAGAATTCCCTCCAACAACTTGCCCACCACCAATGTCAGGCTCACCGGTCAATAGTTCCCTAACTTTTCCTTACCACCTTTCTTCAATAATGGCACCACGTTAGCTAACCTCCAGTCTTCCAGCACCTCACCCGTGGCTATCGATGATGCAAATATCTCAGCAAGGGGCCCAACAATCACTTTGTTAGCTTTCCACAAAGTTCTAGGGTACATCTGATCAGGTCCCAGGGATTTGTCCATCTTTATGCGTTTCAAACCGTCCAGCACGTCCTCCTCTGTAATATGGACGTTTTTCAACATGTCGCTATTTATTTCCTCATATTCTATATCTTCCATATCCTTCTCCACAGTAAACACAAATGCAAAATACTCATATAGTATCTCCCCCATCTTCTGTGACTCCACATACAGGCGGCCTTGTTGATCTTTAAGGGGCCTTATTCTCTCCCTAGTTACTCTTTTACCCTTAATGTACCAGTAGAATCTCTTTGGATTCTCCTTAACCCTATTTGCCAAAGCTATCTCATGTCCCCTTTTTGCCCTCCTGTTTTCCCTCTTAAGTATACTCCTACTGCTTTTATATTCTTCTAGGGAATCATTTGATCTCTGCTGTCTATGCCTGACATATGCTTCCTTCTTATTCTTGACCAAAACCTCAATTTCTCTAGTCATCCAGCATTCCCTACACCTACCAGCTTTGCCCTTCACTCTAACAGGAACAAACTGTCTCTGGACTCTTGTTATCTCATTTTTGAAAGCTTCCCATTTTCTAACTTTCCCTTCACCTGCAAACATCCATGCCCAAGCAATGTTTGAAAGTTCTTGCCTAATCCCATCAAAATTGGCCATCCTCCAATTTAGAGCTATAACTTTTAGATCTGGTCTATCCTTTTCCATCACTATTTTAAAACTAATAGGATTATGATCACTGACCCCAAAGTGCTACTCCACTGACACCTCAGTCACTTGCCCTGCCTTATTTCCCAAGAGAAGGTCAAGTTTTGCACCTTCTCTAGTAGGTACATCCACATCCTGAATAAGAAAATGTTCTTGTGCACACCTAACAAATTCCTCTCCATCCAAGCCCTTAACACTATGGCAGTCCCAATCTATGTTTGGAAATTTAAAGACCCACACCGTAACTACAGTTATGCTCACAGTAATGGTCCAGGGTCTTCACCGGAAATCATTATCAGAATTCTGCAGTGAGGTGAGAGATGAAATGGAGATTGCTGGAGAGGGGGAGCGGTGGGGTTGGAAATGAAGACAGGAAGAGGTTTTTAGTGGCCTACTCCCTTCCTGATGGTGTGTCCCTGATGGGTATAGTGTCCAATATTGAGTACAGGAACTTCACGCAGTGAGAGTTGGGAAGAAGACAACCATGTTCCCTTTTCACAGAACTAACTGTTGCATTCTGGTAACCTCCATTTCAATAGCTTTTCACCACATTCGTGAATGTGTGAGTGAGGTAAATGTTTTTTTTTTAAATTCATTCGTGAGATGCGAGCATTACTAGCTGGGCCACCATTTTGTTGCCCATCCCTAGGTGCCCTGCAGAAGGTAGTGGTAAGCTGCTGTCATGTCTTCATTTGGGATAGGCACACCCACAATATTTTTAGGGAAGGAGGCTCTGGACTTTGATCCAGAAACAGTGAAGGAATGGAATAACAGAATGCCATACAAGGTGGCACAGATGGTAGGACATTGCAAGATAGAGTAATAATGTAGTAAAATGCCAGCTGGGGACGGTGGTAGGGTGCAAGATCAGGTACAGAGGGGTTAGATGTTTTCAAAGCATCTTGAGGAGGGGTGCAGTCAGAAGGCTGAGAAGATTTGGAGATCATGAGAAGGAGTTGGAGAATCAGGGCGAAGGGTTGTGAATGCTGGACAGCTGGGTGGTCAATAGACAAAGGGTCAGTGTGGTTGAAGGATCAGAGAGGCAGGAGTTTGGAGATTGGGACATTTGGAAGGTTTTGTCAGTTAAAGGGTTTGGGGGAGTTGGAGGATTAGGTGGTCATGGGGATGGGGGGAGTCGGAGGTCCAGGGTTTTAATCCATCAAGCATTTCCTGGATAACCATTCCCAGTTAGAAAGATGGATTTGTTTCAAGTTTCCAACTCAAATCCAAGGTCAGAGACATTCACGCAGGGTTCTGTGTAGCTGGAAAATTGCCTATCGGAAGTTTAAACTTCCAAGGGGCTCCCATCGAATCATTGTGTCAGGACTTCTGAGGGGCTCCAATGCATATCTTGGACGGTATGACCAGTCTCCAACAATCCAGAATTGGAAGATGGGTTAAAATATTATTATTTCAACCAACACTTATGGTCAATGCATACCTATTCAATTTAGAATGAAACAACAAAGTTAAAATATACATACTTCTGTGAGAAAGTGCATATACACTGTGGTTACAACTTTGACAAGTGCATTGTAAGCAAAGTTTGTAGATGATACCAAAATAGTACAAAAATGATCAACAGTGGAACCATTTTTGGGAAAAAAAATGTAGTTTTGATATCTGGATCAAGGCTGGCTGCTTAGCAAAGGGAAAAAAGAAGCAATGCAAGGACTCTGTGCTAAAAAGGACAAACAAACAGGATGAAATTAGATGAGAATCTGATTGTGTGTGTGAGCGTGCCCATGCTTGTGTATGACGGGGACAGACTGGGAGCAGATGCCAGGTTTCAAAGCCAGGGGGCAGCTCATTTTGGCCATTTGTGGGATTACGAATCACTTCTTGATGTCTGGCAACTAATCACTTGTCGTCACAGCTCCAACCCATTTAGATGATGGGAGCCCACTCCCAAGAGTTGCTGGCTAATTGTAGGAACACCTGTTCTGCAGTCTAACTCAATTGTTGATAAAAAGCCATGGCAACAGAAAATGACAGGCACCTTCAACATCTCTCACCATTTGAAGATCCCATGATGTTCCACCCTTAGAAGGTACTAAAATACAGCCTACAGCACAGTGAGCAAAAAATAGGGATATTTAGCATACTTGAATTCAATTATGAGCATCTGAACTTTCCATACAGTTGCATTGCTTTTCTCATTGCAATTCGCCCACAAGTCAGCAAAAGCAACAAAGGGTAACTGGAATTTCAAATACAAATTAAACCTAGTGCAAAAAGATCTTCTGTGATCCTGAGTGCTTAGAGGAGATACTTAAAATTAAGCTTTTATTCTGAATGCAAGGGCAGCAGTAAACATTTTAAAATGTTTTTCAATGTTGTTTTTCATTTACTAACAAATTGACTAGTGTCCACATGCATAACTAGCAAACGATTCTCTGTAGATTTTCTTAAATAGATCGTTTTTAGTTCTTTAAAATTGGGTTACTCATAGGTGGAAGACTGATCACTGATTAAAAATGCTTATTTTTTTTGTGACCTTCAGCTATATTGCTAAAACAGTTGCAAGTTATCACTCCTCAATATTTCTTAAAACAATTTATTTTTGAAATCACTTTACGAAATACTGCCAGACTGCACTGGCACATGACAGATTTCCCACTAAATGAGAAGCAAATGGGTTTGAGCAGAAATTGAGTGGCGAAAGCACTAGGACAATGTTGGGCACAATGTTTAACTGGATTGTGGTCACACCCAAAGCTGAATTTCTACCCCGTAACAGCATTGAAAATAGGAAATTTATATAATACAAATTAAAAGGCTGAGACCGATTATCTCAACACCATGCCTGGGCAAAAGTTCTTATTGTAAAACTGGGCACTATCATGCCATGGTCACATTTGCTTGTGGTAGAAGCTGCAAAAGGGCTTCCATGTAGTAACATCCCTAAATCAGTGCTGTATATGATCTTGGTCAGATGCCATCTAGTGTGCTCTGTGTAAATTCTGGCCACTTAAGCTTGAGAAGCATTGGTTCCCTTGACAGTGTGCAGAAGATATATGATTCCAGACCTCGAGAATCTTATGTCTGGGAAATTTGAAAATTTTTGAACTACGAAGGAGACTGATGTCACATTTTTCACTGTATCAAGATCTTCAATTACAGGATCACAAGTTAAAATTAAGCAATAACAATAAAATTTTAGTAGAGCATTTTTTGCACACCAGGAATAGACTTCTGTAAGAAAGAGCAAGTAAAGCAAATGGTGTAAGTAAGTATGAGAGGTATCTGTTTCTACAGCTGGGGGAGGAAAAGTGGAATCATATTTTGAAAGGTTTGGTAGGTAAGATCAACGTTAACGGAAGGAGTTGTTTGGTCTGAAGGCTTTTAACAGTTCATAATTTTTTAAAATCAGCTTATGATTGTCCGTATTGGACATAATGCTGAGAGAAATAAGTAGTCAATGATAGGTGGAAAATAAAGAAAACAGAAGGTTAATCATCATCAGTAATATTCGTGCAAACAGCAGTGTATCTTTAAAAGGATATCTATTAGACTCATACAGCACAGAAACAGACCCTTTGGTCCAACCATAATCCCAACTAAACTAGTTCCACCTGCCTGCCCCTGGCCCAAGTCCCTCCAAACCTTTCCTATTCGTATATCCAACCTAATGTCTTTTTAATGTTGTAACTGTACCCGCATCCACCACTTCATCACACGTGAGCCACCCGCTGTGTAAAAAATTTGCCTCTTATGACTTTTTAAATCTCTCTCCTCTCACCTTAAAAATATGTCCCCTAGTCTTGAAATTCCCCATCATAGGGAAAAGACAACTACCATTAATTCTATCTACACCTCCCATTGTTTTATAAACTTGTATCAGGTCATCTCTCAATCTTGTACACTCCAGTGAAAAAAGTCCCAGTCTATCCAGCCTTTCCTTTTGCCTCAAACCTTCCATACCTGGCAACCTCCTGGCAAATCTCTTCTGAACCCTCTCCAGCTTGATAATATCCTTCCTATAACTGGGTGACCAGAGCTGGACACAGTATTCCAGAAAAGGATTCACCAATGGCCTGTACCACCTCAACATAACATCCGAACTCCTATACTCAAAGGACTGAGCAATGAAGGCAAGCGTACCAAATGTCTTTTTAACCATCCTGTCTACGTGTGACACAAACTTTAAAGAATTATGTACCTGCGCCCCTAGGTCCCTCTGTTCTACAACACTACCTAAGGCCTTGCCATTAATTTATAAGCCCTACCCTTGTTATGGTACCAAAATGCAATACCTCACATTTAACAAGATTGAACTCCATCTGCCATTTTTCAGCCCATTAACTCGTTTGATCAGATCCCTTTGTAATCTTAGAAATCTGTTTTCACTGTCTACAATGCTTGGGAACAGACATCTGCGTCCCATGAGATCAGAGAGAAAACAGATTTAAAAGTAGAGAAGCAATATTAACAACAATTATCATACAGGATCACAATAAGAAACCTTTGTTGTTATGCACTGTTGTCAAACTTAATTTACGCAGCAGAAATTTTGCTTACCACGGGTAATGATGTCTGTTGGCCTGCAACACATTGGGATTGTCCTGATTTCTTTCTTCCCTCTTGTTTTTCTTGATCTAGGTGAAACATTTGAAAAAGGTGGCTGATCTTATTTGGATTATCATGCGAAGGTTCTGATAGAGATGCCTGTTGCTTTGTTCTGCCATCAGTAAGATTGGCAATATTTTTCTTCACATGAGAGGAAGGACTTGCTGAGCTTTCACTGTTTCTCAACACTGTTTGGACAATATCAACATTGGACCTTGCACATGGTGATGTTGGACTGGAAAGATGTTTAGGAATCATGTCAACCTTGTCAAACAAGTGGCCCTTGTCCTTATCAGTAATCCAACCAGAAATTCCACTGCTATGCTTGTCTGGTCCTACTATCTTTGTGTTGTTGACGTAATGTGAGTTGTAAGGTCTAAAAGCTGAACCAGTATACTTTAAAGAAAATTGTTTGGTGGCATGGATGCTCCCTGTAGACTGAAGTGCAAAGCTGGATCCTGGGTAGGCAGTTGTCTCATTCTGTGCTAATTCCTCAAATCTTCCAGAAACAACAGGACCGCAGCGTTCATTGTTTAAAGCTGTTTTGCTGAAGTTATCAGGTTGTTTTGAAGGTACACCGATTGTGGACTGCACAAACACACTACTGGTACTGCAAACCCCTGTTGTTGATGTACAGCATGAAAAGTTACAGTCTGACAGACTATATTTGGGTGATTGAGGTTTTGCTGGCCTAAGTCCAACGGTGAAGTTTTCACCCAGGCTCTGCTCCTGAGATGGTAAAACATTTTTATCTGAAGCAAATGTCTTTACTGCTGAACCAAAGCACTTGTTTCCAGATCCAAAACCAAACTTAGTTACATCACATGACCACCTGCTATATTTATTGTTCTTATTGTTTTCAGATCTCTTATCACATTGAATTTGTGGTGCCAAAGTCTTGAAAGGTCTTCCATCTGTGAAAGATTTCTGTTGACTTTCCTGCAACGGGGCTTCAAATGTTTTCATAACACAAGGGCTACTGCAACTCTTTTCTGCAATACGATTTTGTATTGTGTAATTACCGGTACCTTCCTTCACCAAATCGTCAAGATCCAGTGGAAACATTAAACTTGCAAGGTACCAAGAGGATGTCCTTGGTGGAACTGGTGGAGCTCTTTTGCTTGAGAAAGATACACCTTTTATGTCATCTCCTCTTGAAAGTCCAGGAAAAACTCCATGCTCATTCTTCTTGGAGTGATTCCAGTTTTTCTCATTATGGAGCTTTCCAGAACATTTTTTGAATTCTGAAAGTGTAGGGCTTAATGCCTTAAATATATCATTTGATGTGCAGCTATTGTCTCCTGAAGAGGTTTCATTTCTCACAAGTGTATTTTCATTTTGCTTCTCTTTACTTTCTTGCAGATGTGAAACTGATTTTACTCTGGGTCAAAGAGAAACATAACATAGATGGCAGTATTTTTTAAAAACTATGTGATTGATAATGATAAAATTATTAATAACATTTACTCCTCTCTGATTGATTCAGTTTGGTAAGCAATTGTGGCTTCTCTGCTGGTCTAATCCTTTGGGAGAGGAGCTTAGGTGACAGGAGATCCAAATAGATAAGTGGTTTTGTTTATTTTGTTTGCACTCTTTGAAGAATCTGGAGTACAGAAATGTTTTTCTAGATTCTATATTAAAAAAAAGAGCAAGGCTACTGTCACCTTCCCCCCTAACTGTGGTGCCCTCCTGAACCAGAATTTAGTCAAGCAACAGGACCTATTCGTTTGAGTCCCTGGCAACAATTCCTGCCTCAAGTTTTGGAGGACGCTGATGGTGGCCTATGCAGATGTTTGTCAGGGCTGAAGCAGAGCAGGTTAGAGGCATGGAGAGGAACAGCTGAGGGCTAGAGTGGAGCAGCTAAGAGTCAGAGCAGAGCAGGCTGAAGGCCTGGTGTAGAGCAGGCTACAGACCCGGAGCGGAGTGGGCTGAAAGCCCGAAATGGAGCAGGGACGGTTGTTGGATTGGGGACCAGCTGGTCAGACCACATGTGAAAGCTCCTGCGCTAATCTACTGCAATGTAATGTTTATCTGTAATCTGTTTATCTGACTGTAATGTTTATCCCTTTTAACTTCATGCCTTATTTTCTGACTTGTACTACGAATCACCGTAAGGTAATGTAACTTTTTTCTTCTTTATTTCTCTATTTTGTATCTAAGATTTGTACCTAAGTACTTTGTATCGAACATGGTGCCATGAGGGGGCGAAATTGTAAACTTTTCACTGTACTCCTGTCCTACTGTACTTGAGTACACATGACAATAAACCTAATTCTAATTAATAATTAAAAGTTGTAAGACATTTTACTGCATAAGGTAGGATCGTTTCTGGTTCTCCATAACACATCTTTGCACAACTTTCAAGCTGATTTACAGAGTCATACAGCGCAGAAACAGACCCTTCAGTCCAACACATCCGCGCTGACTAGGCATCCCAATCTGACCTACTCCCATTTGTCAGCATTTGGCTCATAACCCTCCTATTCATATACCCATCCAGGTGCCTTTTAAATGAGGTCATTGTACCTGCCTCCACCACTTCCTCTGGCAGCTCATACATTACACGCATTACACTTTTCCACAGTGTCTATGTGGAAAAGTTTCCTTTCAGGTCCTTTTTAAATCTTGCCCACTCAGCTTAAACCTACATCATCTAGTTTTGGACTCCTCTACACTTGGAAAATGACCTTGGCTATTCACCCTATCCATGTCTCTCATGATTTTATAAGCCTCTATAAGGTCACCCCTCAGCTTCTGCGACTCCAGGGAAAATAGCCCCAGCCTATTCAGTCTCTCCTGACAACATTGTTGTAGATCTTTTTTGCACCTTCAAGTTAAACAACATCCTTCCTATAGAAGGGTGACGAGAATTGCATGCAGTATTCTAAAAATTGTCTCACCAATTTCCTGTACATCTGCAACAAGACGTCCCAACTCCTATACTCAATGTTCTGAACAATGAAGGCAAGCTCCTTCTTCACCACCCTGTCTACCGGTGACTCCACTTTCAAGGAACTACGCACTCGCTCTCCAAGGTCTCCTTGTTCCGCAACACTCCGCAGGGCCCTACCATTAACTGAATAACTCCTGCCCTGGTTTGCCTTACCAAAATGCAACACTTCACATTTATCTAATTTAAACTCCATCCACCTCTCCTTGGCCCATTGGCCCATCTGATCAAGGTCTTCACTGTCCACTACACCACCTATTTTGGTATTATCTGCAAACTTAATAACCATATCTCCTACAGTCAATCCACATTAATTTACATAAATGACAAAAAGCAGTGGACATAGCATTGATCTTTTTGGCACACCGCTGGTCACAGGCCTCCTGTCCAAAAAGCAACATTCTACCACCACCCTATTTCTCCTACCTTCAAGCCAATTTTCTATCTAATTGGCCACATCCCTCTGCATCCCATGTGATCAAACCTTCCTTATTAGCCATGCAGAATGTTGTTAAACACTTTGCTGAAATGCTTATAGACATCTACTGCGCTGCCTCATCAATCTTTTTTGTCACCTCTTCAAAAAACTCAATCAAGTTTATGAGGCACGATTTCCCATGCACAAAGCCATGCTGACTACCCTTAATCAGTCCCAAATGCATGTAAATCCTGTCCTTCAGAATCCCCTCCAACAACTTACTCACCACTGATGTAAGGCTCACTGGTCAATAATTCCCTGCTTTTCCTTGCAGCTTTTCTTAAATAGTGGCACCATGTTAACCAACCTTGAGTCTTCCAGCACCTCACCCATGGCTATTGATGATACAAATATCTCAGTAAGGGGCCCGGCAATCTCTTCCCTAGCTTCCCACAAAGTTCTGGGAAACACTTGATCAGGTCGGAGGGATTTATCTACATTTATGCATTCTAAGACCTCCAGCATCTCCTCCTCTATAATATGAACTCTTTCAAGGCATCACTATTTATTTTATTGGCCTTAGAACTTTAACTTTTTGATCAGTTCTATCCCCTTCCACAACTATTGTAAAATGAGCCAAATTCATGATCATTTGGCCTGAAGTGCTTCCCCATTGACACTTCAGTCATTTGTCCTGCCTTATTTCCCAAAAAAAAGGTCAAGTATTGCTCCATCTATAGTAGGTACCTCTGCATATTGAGTAATAAAGCTTTCTTGTACACATTTATCAAATTCCTCCCCATCGAAGCCCTTAACATTTTGACAGTCCCAGTCTATGTTTGGAAAGCTAAAATCCCCTACCATAACCACCCTATTATTCTTACAGACAACTGAGATCTTCTTACTTATTTGCTGAATTTGCCTCTGACTATTGGAGGGCCTATAATACAATCGCAATAAGGTGATCATCTCTTTCTTATTTCTCAGTTCCACCCAAATAACATCACTGAACATCACTGGACGATCCCCCAGGAATATCCTCCCTAAGTACAGCCATAATGTTCTCCCTAACCCAAAATGCCACTCCCCTCCACTCTTGCCTCCCTTTCTATCCTTCCTATAGCATCTATACCGCGGAACATTAAGCTGCCAGTCCTATCCATCCCTGAACCACATAGCTATGATATCCCTGTCTCACGTTTCCGACCATGCCCTAAGTTCACCTGCCTCACTAGTCAGGCCTCTTGCATTGAAGTAAATTCAGTTTAATTTATCAGTCTTACCTTGTTCTCTGCCAAACTCCTGTGTGCCTTGACTATTTGACTTGCTTCCCTTATCTACTATACCAGTCTCAGCCTATTCTCTATATCCTCACCCCTAACCTGCCCAACTTACTAGTTTAAAGCCTCCTGAGAAGCACTAGCTAATCTCTCAAGAACATGGGTCCCCTTCCAATTCAGGTGGAGCCCATCCCTCTTATACAGGTCATTTCTACCCTGAAGAGATACCAATGATCCAATAGTGTGAATCCCTGCCTCCTACACCAGCTCCTCAGCCATGCATTTATCTGCTCTATCCTTCTACTCCTACTCTCACTAGCACGTCATACTGGTAGAAGGCCAGATATTGCTACCCTCAAAAACCTACTTTTTAACCTCCTGCCTGGTTTCCTATATTCTCTCTGCAGAACCTCAGTCCATTCCCTTCCTATATTGTTGGTACTAACTTGTACCACAGCCTCTTGCTGGTCACTCTCCTCTTTCAGAATATTCTGCACCCTTTCCAAGACATCCTCAACCCTGGCACCAGGGAGGCAACACACCATCCCAATGTCTTGCTGTCGGCCGAAGAAACGTCTGTCAGTATCTCAGACTAGATAGTCCTCTGTTACAATCGATCGCTTGAAACCCGACATACCCCTCATTACCATTGAGCCAGTCACAAATACAGAAACTGGGCTATCAGTGCTACACTCCCCTGAGAGGCCACCCCCCTCCAACAGTATCCAAAACAGCGTACCTGTTTGAGATGGGGATAGACTCCTGCACTACCTGGCTATCTCTCCTACTATTCCTAGCTGTCAACCCAGGACAGCATGGTGACTCAGTGGTTAGTACTGCTGCCTCACAGCGCCCGAAACCCAGGTTCGATTCCAGCCTCGGGTGACTGCCACTGTGGAGTCTGCGCATTCTCCCCTGGTCTGTGTGAGTTTCCTTTGGGTGCTCCCGCTTCCTCTTATAGTCCAAAGATGTGCAGGTTAGGCGCATTGGGCATGCTAAACTGTCCAGTGTCCCAGGATGTGCAGGTTAGGTAGATAAGCCATGGGAAATGCAAGGTTACAGGGATGGGGGTGGGTCTGGGTGGGATGCCAAATGGACTGCTTCCACACTGTAGGGAATCTATGATTCTATGAGCCATCTACCTGACTATATCTGTGGTGTCTCCACCATCCTGAAACTGCCATCCATCACGCCCCCTTGCTCCTGTAAACTCCTCACTGCCTCTAACTGCCGCTCCAACCGGTCTGAAAGGATTCGCAGCCAAACACACTGCCTGCAGACACAGTCTCCAGGAACATTCAAATTCTCCCTGATCTCCCACATCTGTTAGGAAGAGCACGTCACCCTCCTAAAAACCATTTCTGCCCCTCTAACAATCTATAGACCAGAAATGACCTAAAAACAAACACAACACACTTTGCTCAAAACACAGCATCAGCACTGTCTTAGACTCTAAACATTACTCTGGGATAACTTAATACTAATCCTTAATATTAAAAGTAAATCAAGAGACAGACCTCATTATAAACATAATAAAAATGCCTTCACCTTACTCACTATTATAGACTTACAAAAGAAAAATCAGATTTACAAGTTTTATAAGTCTTAAAATCAAACACTTTGCTGATCAGGCTCAAAGACCAAAGATCATCCTCTTCTCCTGTAGTTTCAGGCAGTGATTTTTTTTGTAGCTGCACGTGAAGCTGGATATTAGACCTCCCACATCAGCTATGAAACTGCACTGCTTGTTTGTTATTTCAGTGAAACTGGATCTCCAGAGCCTTTCTACAATTTCTCAGTCTGACAGCTGTGAAACTACACTTGTTATTCGAATCAACTTCACGTAAGGCATAAACCATGTGCCATCCCATTCTCAGACCAATGCACCTTGTCAGAAAGTCCTGCAGAGAAGTCGTCCATGAAATATTCTTTCTCATCTTTCTCCTCCCTATATTTCAATCTGCACAAGACAAAGAAATAAGAATTCCAGCTTAAAATATTGCAAATATATTAATACCTTTCATGGCTCACTTTTTTCTTGACGTCCTCTTGGTAACTGCACAGCTCTTCACTTACTTTGGCCAATTCTTGTAAAGCCTGTGGAAATGACAAACTGTAAGATTCATGTACACAAATATCAGCAACATGGTATATGACACATTGTAATTTAAGGAAACAGACTACTCACTGCATTCAAAACATTGGAGAATTTATTGTTATCATTCTGGTTACTTCCAAAATTTTCAATGCTACCACCGTCCTCTAAATGTTCAAGTGATAATTCCTCAATAAACAGTAGATCACTTCCACTCTTTTCTACGGCTTGATCTGTATCATGCAAAGTAATAGCTTCCATTTCTGCACCATGGGCCTTTGCACCGTTTGTATAATGTTGGTCTTTTTCATCATATGGCTGACTGCATTCGTGTAAATTAAACAATGCACAATCATCTCTTCTGAAGTTTCTTTGTCTCTGCTCAGGTTTCTGTTCATTCAATTTACACTCTTGACTTGATTTGACGTCCCAATAAATCTGCAGATTCAGAAAAAAGAATTATTATGTTGATACAAACTGTATTGTTTCAATAATTAGCTAACAAATATATTTATGATTTATTAATTCAAAATGGAACAGAAATGATCATTGGTATCCTCCCTGAGGTCAGTTCATTCACCATTATGGACGAGATGATGTGATTGGTTGCCATAATGTCACTTCCAGAATCTGAAGTTGACATCAGAGTGGATCAAAAACCAAATTAGAAACAGTGTTTACCAAACACCTATTTGAACAAACACAAAAATACAATGGCTATAAAAATAGGTCAGAACCTGGGAAATCTTCCATGAGTAACACCCTCCCACACTTGCAAAATCTGTGCACCAACTATAAGGAAAAATCAGTTTCAGGGCAGTTATGACATGACATTCTGCCATCATTACCATAAAATCTGATCCTTAACTTCACTTCATTTATAGATTTAAAAATGAGCTGTAAGTGTTTCCACTTCGACCTTTTCCTAACGCTGTTGGAGGAGAAATTAATTCACGTGGTGCTTCCAGTGGTCCTGCACTGACAATGTTGATTTCACAGGCACAGGGAATAAATACTGAGGGCCACTAGCTGTGGTGTGTTCTTCATTAATATTAATGGAAACTGCTTGTGGGCAATATATATGTGACTGATGCACTGCCTGGCTCTGGGGAATTGACATATGTTAATATGCTAGAAGCAGACCACACAAATAGGTTTCTCCTCCTTTCTATCCTGATAATGCCACAAATTCCTTTAATCATCATCTTTATCCAATACCACTTAAAAGAATGAAAATAGCGTATTCAAGTTGGACCTATTCACCACTTATATGGAGAATGATTTTTCCCCATTTTACCAAAATGATGTTGAAAATATTTATAAAAACCTAAAGAACTGTAAATCAGAAACAAAAACAGAAATTGTTGGAAAAGCTCAGCAGGTCTGGCAGCATCTGTGAAGAGAAATCACAGTTAACATTTCGGGTCCAGTGAACCTTCCTCAGAAGTGTCTGAAGTTCTAAGGGTCACCGGACCTGAAACATTAACTCTGATTTCTCTTCACACTTGAAAATATTTATAACTGAAGCTGGATTTTTCTGAATAGTCATGTAGTAGCATCATTCAAATTTCTTGGATTAGCACACTTGCACCTTTATTCGTGAATGAATTCATTTGCAGCCTGGATCAAGATGAGGTAGCATATTCGCGCTCCAGAGAATTTGTTTACAAGTGAATTTTAAAGAATGGAAATAATTAAAGTGGATGGAATGATCAAAGTTCTAGTGGCTAATTTCAAACAGCATATTCACCCATTTTTGCCTTTGCTAAGACTTTTGGGGTAGAGGGTTATGAAATGACAAAATTGAAAACAAAGGAAGCCCAATGTGCAAATTACAGCTCTGGCAGTTCTAAGACTGGCAGTGCCAGGTCAATGTTACATCTTAGCAGAATTTGTGTTCACATCAGATCTTCTGCCTCTCTACTGATCTAAATCCTATGAAATCAATTCCTCACAGCCGTTGACTGGTGGGCATGACAGTGCCTGCTAGCATGTTTGGTCACATCTTGCCAAGTGTGGTTAATCAGGCTGCACTGATGTAATGTATTCATGTAGCATTATATGAATTAAGGCATGCTATATTTTGAGTTGCTTCTGAAAAGCCATCTAGCATAATAATTTGTTGAGCCTTTTTGACATATCTATGCTCAGCAGCCTGTTTTCACATGTACATTGAGAACAGGAGCCTTTATCTTCCCCAATTGTTTGCCAAAGTAAAGCTTTGCTACCTCTGTTTAGATACAGGTGTGTAGGTACTGCTAGTTGTACACATAGGATTTTTAGTGCATTCCGTACAACATGCCATTCCCTCAGAGTTATTCCACTTCTTCTAACACCTGACTTGGGTGTTCCCATTGAAAAACTCATTCATGATTCTGATTGAGTTGTGGAAACAAATGAATAAAAATCTGGCACAAAAATACACGACACCTCGTTTGACTTGAGCACTAATAATGATAAAAGACGGGCCAGAAATATTCTTAAAGAGCAAAAAATAAGCTTTTTGTGCCTTTTAAATGCTCTTGTGACTGCTGTGTCTCTCAGAGGAAACCTCTGATTTCCATCTAAACCAAACGTTGAATCTGTGGATCACATATAAAGAGCATGTGTTATTAATAAAGACCAGTGTGTTTTTGGTGGACCCGAAACCTGATCTCCTAGTCAATGGAATGGACACACTGCATAATTTCTTCGTCTGATTTTTTTTCAATGACAGAAAGAACATGTGCATGCATTATGCCTGTCTGAACTCAATAAAATGTGACAGACATTTTCTGTTTTACTTCTCAGTGTAAGGTCTTGACCAGAGCCAACCGACCTGGTTTAAAATTTAAGCAACAGTAAATTGTCAGTCATCATGAACTGGTACATTCTCCATGGCAATGAGTCTATCAATCAGAGTTGCCAACTAATCTGCACTCTCCTCTCATACAGTATAAATTTTGGTTTTCCTTTTACATTGGTATTATTGCAAATTGTCCTGAAGAGGAAAAGCTTTGACAAAAGCATGTATTTTTGTTTTTATTTTACTGCTTTGTTGAACTTCTGTAATATACTGTGGGAAACCAACAGAAATAAATAAAACATGTGGAGTCTGTTTTCAGGCACATGAAATATTTCCTTGTGGATTGAAAATAATTAAGGCGACATAGAATTATGATCTAAAGCAATAGATTTTTTTAAAAATTGGTTTTCTCCTTATGGAATCAACTTTAAGTTCATGTCAAAACGATCTGTGATGTTAATAAATGTCACCTTATATGGTTACATATAAGTTGGTTAATAAGAAAACATCATTTAAAAATACTCATATTGGCAGTAACATTTTAACATCTTTCCAAAGTGTTTCTGCATGATATTTTACATATGCTAAATACAGCACCTGCTCTATCTTCCTCTGCATATCCTTTAGTTGACTTTCCCATTGCTTTCTTTCATGATCAAATTGTTCAAGTAACTCCATCTTCTCCTTGCTCCAGTTTCTCTCACTGGTCTCCAGCTGTTTCCTCAGGTCCATGGCTGCTGAGTGGATATTCGCCAACAGCTGCTTCTGTTCTTTCCTTTCTGATCCAAATACTTCTCTTGTTTCTTGAGATGTTTTCTCCACGTCCTGTTTTTCTGCCTTTACTTCCAGCTATACGGATACAAGTAACAAAGTAATTTATAAGTATTTCATACCTAAGAATTACTAATTTATAAGTAAAGTGTTCAGGTTTTCAACACTCTGCAGTGTACTATTTGTAAAGGGGATAACCACTAAAACTAGGCCATAGAATGGTTTATATTTCCAAAGTAATTAAAATATTGACAGTTACTATATACGCAGTACATGTATATATACACATATATATACACACACACAAACTCCTGAATAGTTAAATGGTCTCGTTCTAATACATATGTAATCTAATTTCATGGCATTTGCTTTTATTCATTTAGATTCTTATACTGGTTGCCAACATACGTACTTCTAAATCCACTTCCATAGCCTGATGGCCAAGTTTTATCCAGTTTTATCTGGTTCTACATGTTTGCTGCAAGACTGTGGAAAATAGATTTAACAGCAAAATTCATGGAATTTGAAGAATGTTACAAAGGCAGTTGGTAAAAAGCTGTGGAAGCAGTGACCTTAAAATCATGCCATGAATTTATTAGTTCATATTTGATTGCTGCATTAGTATTGAGTTCTTTATTGTTTTAACAGAGAAAATAATCTGTGTCTATGTAAATAGAAACTTCATGCAAATGTTTTAAAGATTAAGACCAACATTCATCATTCAGCATCATTCTGAGATAAATTTATAGAAAATAGAGACATAATAACAATACAGTTTACATCCAAGACAATTCTACACAAAACAAGGATTAACAGAATTAATGCTTTTCACAATATATGGCTGTGAAAGGTCAACAAAAGCAATGTACTTCTGAATTATTTGCCTGAAAATATACTTACATGAAAATTACCATTCTGTAGTAACAGTGAATGGGAGCTGCTCTAAGTGTCTAGTATAGAATCCCTACATTGTGGAAGCAGGCCATTCGGCCCATCACATCTGCACCAACCCTCTGAAGAGAATGCCACCCAGACTCATTCTCCCCTACCCTACCCCAGCATTTCCCATGGCTAATCCACCTAGCGTGCACATCCCTAAACACCATTCGCAATTTAGCATGGCCAGTCTACCTAACCTGCACATTTTTGGGACTGTGGGAGGAAACCAGAGCACCCAGCAGAATCCCCACATAGACACGGGGAGAATGTATGAAGTCCACACAGCCCGCAGTTAGAATCAAACCCAGATCCCTGGCGTTGTGAGGCAGCAGTGCTAACCACTGTCACGATGTCTTAACTGAAGCTGTTTCAGCACAACAAGAAGTACCGGATTGTAAAATTGGGTGGCAGTCAGTTCTGCCTAACTGTCATTTAATATTGAGCTTGTAAAAATTTCTGCATAGGCTTAGGAGGGGCATTGAAAATTCCTGTTATAAATTGATGGTAAGATTTTCTTAACATTACTAAGGAGTATCCAGGTCCTGTGTGGTATTTTAAAGCTGGTCAATGTGATAGAAGGTGTATCCACATAATTCAATTGTAACCAGCTGTCCAGGGTTGCTGAAAAATTTCAAAGGTTATGGTGGTGGTGGTAGTGGGAGCGAGGCTCTTGTCCTAAAGTGGTATTGTCCTTACCTCAGGGCCAGGAGTCCCAGATTCCAAGTCCCATCTGCGCCAGAAGTAATAACATATTAACCTACCTAAGCAGGTTGATTAGGAATATATCTCTAATTTATAAATATTTAGTATACATGTCTAGTAAAGTGAATCCTCGTGTCTTTCTCTAACAAAACAGTAGAAGGCAGTACTCAAGGGTGATATTTTGAATTCTGGGGCTACATTTTGATCTTCAAGGGCTCCTTATCATTTTTACTAATTAACCTATGAGGTGATTCCACTACCTGGTTACAATACTTTCTGTATTTATGTTGACATGTAAGGAATCTCACTCTCACAAAAACAGGATTAGAAGAATTTAGTTATCAACCCTTCATTAAAATTAAAGCAACAACATACAAGGAAAGCATCAATTTTCTAGAAATCATAGTATTGAAAAGTTGGCACAAGACAATAGGCATAACAACAAAAGTTTACTTTTCGAAATAGCTGACATACACTTCTACATAAAAAGTCATCACTTTATCACACCCTCTTCAAACTGGCGAGGTCACAGCTAAGGCATTTCAAAGGCATATGCACAAAAATGGAATGTTTTAGCCAGGCAGTTAGTCTCTGATTCACTGCATCTCTGATCTCAATTCAAGATTTAAATTTAACATTAAAATGTCATCTACTAAATTTGACCCAACATAGTACTTCTTGAACATATTCAGCTTTAAACTAAAAACTCCACCTTAACTTTCAAGGAATGCATTAACTCAGTGACTTAAGTGTTACTAACTCCAAGACAGCTGAGTATTCCTTTACTGAGAGGTGTTAAACTGTTCTCAAACAGAAGCAGAAATAGCCACTGCAAATCAGAGCTCTGAAGAAAACTCACTGGACCCAAAACATTACTTCTGCTTTCTCTCCACAAAACTCTATTTCTTGTTTAAACCATCCCCTTTCCTTCGCTGTCTCCTTCTCCCAACCACTGTAAAATCCCCTTCTCCCTCATACCAGTTCATTTCCCTTCTTCTTTCTCAATGTATATCATTGCACCTCCATGCTGGGATCACCCTTCATTTAACAAGCCTATGATCAGCAAATGCAGGAGAAACAGCCTGTGATCAGAGAAGCAGTTCCTCAGAGATTCTGTTCATTCTATAATGGGGACAACTTATCGCCCATTGGCTGCTTCCCTGTTTCAAATTTCCTGGGCATTTTGATGGCTTTCTGCTATCCCAGGGCCTTTTGAGCCTTGGTCAAGTGGACCTCTGTTCATCAGACTTGAGACTCTGATAGCGAAATTTAACATGACAACATCATGTTAAATATCACCAGTTCCTTAGCGCTTAATGGAGTGTGAGCTGGGCAACCTTCAGAATGAACAGGGTGAGAAAATGAAGCAGAATAGCATATTAGAATGTGATCTCATCCTCACCCCATGTCAACAGCAGTACTTTGGATCATCCATTAGTCACTATTCTATAGATAGAAGTCTGTGTAGTTTACCTTCCGTGGATATTTTGGTAAGGAATTTCTAGCTGTGCTGTAAAATCGTAAAAAAATGCAACAGGTATTTGGATTCAAGCTGGGAAATGCGATCTCAAGGACTGCATTCATGATAGATGTTGCTTGCTTGATTTGTAAAAACATCACATTTTTTTGAGGTTTTAATTTTGAATTAGTGAAAGTTAACACATTGTCATTGAGTGAATATGTATAAAAGTAACCAATTAGCTAACACTGTGCCTGTGATTAAGCTTTTAGATTTGCAGTTAAAACTCATTAAACTGAGTGACTTCTTACCACAAATGTCTGCAATGCTGTTCACTGGTATTTACACCCTCCATTTCAACTAGAAAATGCCACAATGAAAGTTACTTTTAGACCAGGTAGATACTGTTCATTACACAGATAATTAAAACAATTAGGGGCTAAACTCTATCCACTATTCTATCCGTAGTATACAAATGTAAATCTATTTAAAAAGATTCATATTTTCAGTTCAATTATGCTCAAGACAAAGAAAAACAATCTTCTTTAATATGCTTGCTAAACATTGATGGAAGTTACCTAAATTACAAAACTTAAGGCTTAGTAGTAAATTAACTATCAAGGTCTAGATCAAATATCGAGATGTAACTTGTGTCTGTACAAATGTTTCTTTCTACACCAAACCAATGACTGTCACCATGCTCTGCACATAACAATACATCATGGACCATTACCAGACACTTTCTTGATTATGAAGTGAAATTGTTTTTTGGAACACAAAAAAAGTTCATTACAAATACAATTCAAACTTGATGTTCAATGATAATAAAAAACATGTATAATGCACATTTGGTATTATTCTTGGCGTTGAGTTTAGATGCGAAAAGTAATATAAGGCATGCAGCCACAGATCATTGTGATGAAATATATCAGGAAACTTTTTATTAAATTTTTAAAAGAAGTATCTAAAGAAGGTGTGATTTTGATTTCATGTTTCTGAACATGTGGCATTTGTCTGTACAACTGGATTTCTCAGTATGACGTGCTTTTTTTTGGAAGCAATTTCAGTCAAGGATTGGACACAACTTGTTTTGTTTTGGTTAATGAGGATGAGGTTGTAGACTTACTCGCCGAGCCGGTGTGTGTTTGATTGCAGATGTTTCATTACCCCGCTAAGTAACATCGTTAGTGTACCTCCGGTGAAGCTTTGGCGTTTTGTCCCACTTGTTATTTATATGCCTTGGTTTACTGGGGTGTTTGGCATCACTTTAGGTTCTGTTTTTCAGTGGTTTGTATATTGGGTCCAGTTCAAGGTGTTTGTTGATGGAGTTCCGGTTGGAATGCCAGGCCTCCAGGAATTCCTTGGTATGTTTCTGTTTGGCTTGTGCTATTACGGATGTGTTGTCCCAATCGAATTCGTGCCCTTCTTTGTTCGTGTGTATTAAGACCAGTAAGAATTGGTTGTATCTCTTGGTGGATGGTTGGTATTCATATATCCTGAGTGTCAGTTTTCTTCCAGTTTGGCCTATGTAATGTTTTTCACAGTCCTTGCATAGTGTTTTGTATATTACATTATATCCTTATTGTCAGTTTTCTTCCAGTTTGGAATACAACGTAACATACAAAATACCATGCAAGGACTGTGAGAAACATTACATAGGCCAAACTGGAAGAAAACTGACAATAAGGATACACAAACACCAACTAGCTACCAACAGACATGACCAATTCTTACTGGTCTCAATACACACAGACAAAGAAGGACATGAATTCGACTGGGACAACACATCCATAGTAGCACAAGCCAAACAGAGATATGCCAGGGAATTCCAACCAGAGCTCCATCAACAAACACATTGAATTGGACCCGATATACAAACCACTGAAAAACAGAACCGGAAGTGATGCCAACCACCCCAGCAAACCGAGGCATATAAATAACAAGTGGGACAGAACACCAATGCTTCACCAGAGGCACACTGACGATGTTACCTAGCAGGGTGACAAAATGTCTGCGATCAAACACACCGGCTCGGCGAGCAAGTCTACAACCTCATCCACAACCCGAGCTACAAATCTTCTCAAAAACTTTAATGAGGATCAGTTAGGTCCAGGGAGCTGGAAGAGGTGAGAGACCCTGCTTCAATGGTCATCTTGGTTATGATTGTTATGACTCATGACTAATGAGTTGGCTTCTACCAAGTAAGTCTCAAATCCTCCAGCTAAGGTAGGTCCAAACATCACTCATTCTTGTTGTGAAATGTTGCTTAGGTCAGCTCATTTTTTTATTGTTAATTAATAATTTCTTTAAATTTGTAATAGTATTGTGTAAATATCCTATCAAATTGTTACACAGTGTGCTGCCAGAAACTAAACATTTTCCTAGAATTCAAATAGGATTGAGTTATTTTTTAATAATTAATCATCATTACTTGATTAAGTGAGGAACTACATTAAATCCTGTTTAACAGTAGTCAATGTAGGACACCTGAGTACCATATGATTGGCTCAGCTTTAACCCAACTTTATTTGAGTGGAAGGCCTGCTCCATTTATTTTTATATCATAGAATAAGAACATGAAGCCGTTCACAGTCACATGAACAACCATACATCCTGTCACAGTATTAAATCCTCTGAAGGACCTGGCATTGTATAAGAAGAAAGTTGAGAGGATTATTTTGTGAAGAGTGGGAAAGGAAATAACAGCTGCGTTCTACTTTAGACTAATTTTAACGTGTTGTTTTTTGAAAAAGGGAAGTTTTGTCTTTTACTACTCAAGGCTCTATCAACTGAATGAGCGCACTTATTGTCATTTTACATTTGAGCTACAGATATATATAAAATGTATGCATGACCTACTTTGTAATCTTCTGTATTAATTTTAAATTATATATTTTCAACATTATATGCAATTTTATCATTTATAATAAAAGCTAATCTTCCAAATACCAACAGCCACATGTGAAGACACAAACTCTAGCAGAACATCTCTCAAAATGAACATTAACCGACAGTGTTTGATTTAAAAAAGGAACTCTCATTAATTAAGTAAATCTGAGATGAGTCATGAGGATAAGATAGTATACATCTTCTATCCTGAATTGAAGAAGATATGTAAAATGTCCTATTATCTTTGTGAGAAATCATCAAATAACAGAAGCAAATTAAAGAATGGTCTTGTGACTAATGGACATCTTATGGAACCAATCAGGAGACAACAGGAAGTGATGCCACGCTGATTACTTTTAGTTTTAAAGAAACCAATCAGGAATTGGACAAAAGCCAAAAGAACTGCAGATGCTCTAAGTCCGGAACAAAAATAGAAGTTGCTGGAAAAGCTCAGCAGGTCTGGCAGTATCTGTGAAGAAAAAAATCAGAGTTAACGTTTCGGGTCTGGTGACCCTTCCTCAGAACTGAGGAACCTGTTCTGAAGAAGGGTCACTGGACCAGAAACATTAACTCTGATTTTTTCTTCACGGATGCTGCCAGACCTGCTGAGCTTTCCCAGCAACTTCTGTTTTTGTTCAGGAATTGGGCACATTGGCTAAACAGCTTATCTGAGATTATTCACACACACTAACAAGTCAATTAGAGCTCAGGATATCTCTGATCACACAGATGCAGCAGCGGTTAGTAATTGTTAGTCTTGTAATCGTGTAGAAATTTTTCCATGGAAAAGTTTACCTGTTCAATACGACACTTCAGTTCTGCTCTCTCCAGGTCCCAAGCATATTTGTCACTTGAATACTGATGCTGCAGTTCTGCCCTTTGATCTTCCTCTTCTTTAACCTTAAGCTGAACACCTTCCAAAAGAGACCTAAGATCAAACAAAATTCTTCTGTTTTCACCAGCCTAGAATAAAATTTACAACACTTTAGATATATATTCAAAAAGTAGTATTAAACATATATTATTCATTATGTATGGGTCAAGAGATAGCACTCTCACTTCTGTGCCAAATTTGTTTTGTTTTAAGCTGTTATGTTCCATAATAAAGTTTTAAGCACATAATTCAGGATGTTACTGCTATATAAAACTGAAATAAACTGTATAGTTCAGAAGGTAAGTCATTACACCAAAGCTCTCTCACTATATTCTGATACTGCCATGAGATTTAGCATCTATTAGGTCAACAGGGATGCCATTTCTGAAGAAGGGTCTAGGCCCGAAACATCATCTTTCCTGCTCCTTTGATGCTGCTTGGCCTGCTGTGTTCATCCAGCTCTACACCTTGTTACAAAAGGGATGTCTCCTGATTCAAGCCTCACCAATATCACCAAAAATCACTTTCTATGGGATTCCAAAGTGTTATGTGTCGCTGACACTGAAGTGTATCAGTCAGTATTTCAGGAAGGCTAGGAATGAAATTACAATAAAAGTTTCATTTTCCAGAGCTGTCTTAATCTGGTGAATGGCATATCCAATCCAATTGTTTCCACAAGCCAAAGAATGGTCAAATTAGATATCAAAATAAGGGGTTCTGTATAATAAACAGTCACACAGTTTATATCCAATGGTACTGTTTAAAGTAAATTAAGTAGGTCTCTTACCATTGCCCTGGCCAAATATTTACTTTTTGACTAGTATCTTGGAAGCAGGGCAGAACCTTTAAGGGCCCTGATCAATGTGGGCTTTCACCGGAAATCTGGAATAATCAGGTGAAAAGTCATGTGAGGTCTTTCTTAATATCAAGAATAATTTGGTGCATTTTCAAACAGAGATCCAGACCTCAAGGCACAATTCTCACTGGACAGCAGCATAACACCTACCAATAGGGATTATTGCTTGTTACTGGCTTCATTAACTACCTCTATATAGATGGTTCCTATCGTACCATCTATTGTGAGGAAACGAGACATCAACACTTCTCATCATGAAAGTCAGAGCAGGTACTTGGCAACTTCAGCTTGCTGGTTGTTCCTTCAGACCATCATCCTGGACACCCGGCAACAAAATGTCAGGGTACTCTCCAGGGTAGAACATAGAACATTACAGCGCAGTACAGGCCCTTCGGCCCTCGATGTTGCGCCGACCTGTGAAACCAGCCTGAAGCCCATCTAAACTAAACTATTCCATTATCATCCATATGTTTATCCAATGACCATTTAAATGCCCTTAAACTTGGAGAGTCTACTATTTTTGCAGGCAGGGCATTCCATGCCCTTACTACTCTCTGAGTAAAGAACCTACCTCTGACATCTGTCCTATATCTATCACCCCTCAATTTAAAGCTATGTCCCCTCGTGCTAGCCATCACCATCCGAGGAAAAAGGCTCCCACTGTCTACCCTATCTAATCCTCTGATCATCTTGTATGTCTCTATCAAGTCACCTCTTAACCTTCTTCTCTCTAACGAAAACA